GACCCTAATCCACTAGGTCAGTCACTACGGCGCGGGAATTAAATGTCGCAACGAAGCGTGCCATCTCACCGGTCAAACGTAAGAGTTGTAGAGACGACTGGTTGCTCCCATGCTTCAATCAAAATTTATCAGCTAATTCTCTCGTTCTTTCTCCATCTGTTCGTTCATTCATAAATATGTTTATTTGTTCAGACTACGGGTTGAAGTAAATGCCCCACGAACAATTCCCTTTTGTGAATGAACATTTGGACCGATATGTATTGGTTTACCTATTTAATTTGACCAATTGTTAAAAACATGCGTTTGAATTGTGTTCATCCAGTCTAGAAGGTGTCATTTTATGCAAATGCAGTGCCAAAAAATATTCACTGATGGGAAATGACGGACCACGATGGAGGTGCTTTGGAATTCACTAACCTACGAAGGCATAGTATTAGGAGGATCGCACAGCGCTTTGCAATAATTGATAGAAAAATTATCAGGTTTGGTGCATTAGGACTACTGATAATTGTTAAGATACCGAGCACAAACAGTAAACATGTGATATGACACCTCGCATTTATCATGTCACGAACATTAAGGAAACAAAAGCACCGGCTATGATATGCGGGCATTTCTACTAATTAGTTCCAAGTAGGTAATTATAGTCGTAAAAATAAGTGGCAATTGAAGTGCCAAAACGTAAAAAGGACATAAAATTTAAATATCATAATGGCATTGATGTGGTGAACTTCTAAGCTGTCGTGAAAAACTGCCGCTGATCAAAGCGGGCTACAAGGCTAAACGCAAAGATTGTGACACCATCCTTGCGAAATGAGCTATTAGTAATTACATTAAGTGAGTGCTATAGAGGTTGTAGTTAAATTGTGTAACACTACTTAACTCCGATAGTTTTATTATTACTGCTCTTTGGTGTTCATTAATAAGGTGGATTTTTTTCATTAAACTAACGAAGTGAGATTTTTCATACAAATTACAATTTCATATAACGTTAAAAGAATTTTTCGCTCTTCCGACAGAGTCGATATCGATTTTACATCCCCATTTATCTTTACGCTATTTAAACAAACATGCAAACTAAATACTAAGAGGAGGAGACGTGTCATCAGATTTATTAATTCCCTTGATAATTCTTTGATTCGGTGTGATAGCCTAAGGATTGAAGTTATGCTAGTTGAAAAAGAAGTGTAAATACCAAGCGTCGTCAGACTGGCCTAAGTTATGAGCTTTGTAATGAATCCCAAAATATTTACCAGCACTTTGCTGATGCAAATAATCACTTGGGGGTTCCTTTCCTCGTGTTCATTTCCTATGAATTTCGCAATGATATCGCTGTTGTCTATTGCCATATTAGGAAATTTTCATCATTTAAAAACTTAAATTTGTTGGTGAGGCATAATGTAAGTGGTCATTAACAAGTTAAGTGTTAATTTCGACACAAGCTTACGATAAATAAATAAACAGGCCTTAGAGAAGTAGAGGGAGGTTCGAACCGCCTAGTGGATAAACTAATCAAGCCCATCGGGGACTAAGAGCCCAATCGGCCATTTACCTAGCGTTGTTATAAAATTTACACTGAACAAGTCTGTCGGAAAATGGTGCTGGTGATTTCCACTCTAGCGTAGCTATGGTAACTAGTCCGGTGTGGTAAAATCAATTCTGTGGACGATATTGGACGATATTGTCCTTTTGACTAATCAAAGTAAACTTTCTGATATGTGGTAGAAACCCTTTTGTAGCTTTGTTGTGTGATGTGGAAAGGAAAATTTGGTTGTAATCGGGACATTTTGAAGTACGAATTTCAGCTATTAAAGATAAGCTTTTGATGCCTTGCCAACTCGCGATCTGTTCGTTCTGTTGTTGCATTGTGTTTGAATTTTCAATGGATGATCGACCAAAGCATTTGTGCTTATATTTAGTAGTGTATATTGATAAGGACATTGATAATTTGTTTCCGCGCCTTGCCTTTGTCTCCACCAAACTCCTCGACCAATTTGCTTTTCACTACGCGCAATTCAACCCCATCGTTTCATGACCTCAATACCATGCTCCCTAAAAAAAATTTCGAATTCCATGCTTGAAATAGAACACTGTGAGGTGGCCCAATGTAGAATGTCTCAGCAAAAGAACAGCCCGAACAAATCAGTTCATTAAATGGCTACTATCATGGAGGCTAACAAAGAAGCAGCGTGTTCTTTCTTATCTAAATTTTAGAGAAGCGAACTGGAATCCTTTGCGATTAATATACTAAGAGTGTCTTGTCCTAAAAGCATTTAAATTACAGAAATATGTAACTGAAGCATAGGTCACGAAATGTGGACAAAAATGGCCAGTTGGAGAGTAAATGATTGAAAGTATTAGCTGGTGCTTGTCATTCAGAACAGTGTCGAGTCTCATGCTTAACATGGAAAGACGAAACTACCTAGAATCTGCTAATAGAAGGACAGAATTTGATAATGGAAAGGTAAATGAACAGTATCACTAAAAAGGATGTTTTAGTCCCTAAAGTGGGCATTCAGATAAAGGATGACGGTTGTGTTACTTTTTTCCTTTATGATTGTAAAATAATCTCCAAATCCATAAGATGATCTCCGCTACAGTGGTGCAAAATTCAAACACTTTCATCTAAACAGTTCAACGTCACATCATGGGCAATGTTTTCTGACAGGTGGTGGTAAACAAATCTTTAAAAGTGGAACCATTAAGGGCATTCAAACATCTGCGAGGTGCAACTGACATCTAAAGGCATAAGGTTAAGGCTTGGTTAAATATTTAAGGCGCACCAATCACTGATAGGCACCTGCCATCGAGAAAATATCGTTAATGTACTCACCCCCTACGAGGCCATAATCATTCAAACCATACACCTAGGGAAAGGGTTTAATGAGTGCAGAGTAAATATCTTATTGGTGGATGAACATTTTGCTAAATGTTGGGATAAATTCATCGACCATTTACTCGACCATCTGGTACCTAAAGATGGACTCTTATTTTGCACCTATTCTTGCTTAAGTTCCGAGATCATTTGTAAACCTTCCATGAAAGTAACTCAATCTTTAATCACTGCTCCGCTTACAAATATTATTAAGTGGAAGTAAGAAACGCGAGCCTTATTTGTTCCGTTTTTCCCAAAACAACTTTTGTATTTTAGTCGTAAACGAACATTAATGGAGGCACTTCCATTTCTTTTCCAATCCTATGTCCTTATACTTCTCATACAGGCGTTTATTTCAAAGGAAACAGGCTCCCTCGCTGCATTTCCAGAAGGACTGATTTTTGGGGTAAGTTTAGTTCTGTCTCTGATTCTATTTCTCCAATGATTAAACGTTATAACTATCCCAAAAATTTGCTATGCTGCATCGAGCGTGTGAATTTTTCGCCTTCCGTCCTCAATCGGTTTTCAACAAGTAAAAGATTTCACGGCATACATTTCATTAAACATACGCATCCAGTCTTAAGGAAGACAACATGTGCGAATTATTCGCTTCATAGGTCCCATGATTTCATTCTTCAAGATGATGTCTATTTTTGGTAATTGAGACATGCATTCCCATTCCCAAGGGATAATTTACTGAATTACTAAAGAGAGGAAATGAGTTACCAGTTCGTTTCCAAGTGTCTTCCAGGACTACTAAGCCCTTTACCCTCAAGTCACCTTGATATGCCTTATCCCACATAAAAGAATCCCAAGAATGTCCGTCGCCAAGAGACTTAAGCACTTGCCAAAACATTCGCATTAGCAATTTGTACCAGGCTCAGCAACCCTTAGCCCTTCTCTGCTCGCCTTAAATCGATACGAATAAAAGGAAATAGGGTGATGGTTGCCAAGTCGTTTCCACTTGCAGTGATTGAGCAGATGGGTCAATTTACTGCACAACATTTATGTCGATATGTTTTATGCCTTTTCTAACTGACCTCTGACCTCTTCATTAACTCGATTTTGCTCGAACATGGTCACCACATTATTGGCCTTACGAGCGATGGCGAAAAAGTATGATAGTACAGTACAATGAAGCGGTGCTAGGCTAACCGCAATAAAAATGGCGTACAGCGGTACAGTCCCCGCCATGTTCTCCACTGTTGTAATTACCATAGCCATGATGGGAATTAGTTTTTGCTAGTTAGGTGAAAAAAGATTATTTTTCTTTATTTGTTGAGGTATTTTTTTTCAACCCACAAAAAGGACTACTTTTAAAGGCTGCAAAAGCAGAAATCACGGTCAATCATGGAGCTAAAAACGCGGTATAAGGATCAGTGAAAACATTATGTCACTTTCTCGATATATATATATATATATATATCTGTTATGATTTACATCTGACGGAGAAGAATACACCCTTGAGTATGGAGTGCAAAATGCTCTGTTACATAATCTTAGCTCAATAATTGTCAAAGCCTTCCATTTTTTTAGAAAACTAATTGACTTTTCAAACGCAGATGACAATTGTACTTTCATTTTAAAGTTACAAAGGGCCCAGGAATCGCTTCTTTTTGGGAATGTCTCCCCTTAAACCATGAGGTTCTTCAGGTCGCGGATGAATAATGTTTTAGGAACTATTGCAAAATAAGGTACTAAAACTCTGTTTGCCGTTGCGCTGTGTTATGGTCAAGTCAAAATTTGCAAGATCTCAATATAGGAAAATTTGCAGAAAACTAAGTTGTTCGCTAAGGTAATCAGATCAAGGAAAACCACCAAATTGATTAGTTTAACTACGTTTGGCGCATGAATTATTTTTTCGATTTCGACTCACTTTTGCTATTTTATGTTCTTGCTTCTTACTTAATGATTATTAGCCTAAGTTTATGCCATCGCCCAATCAAAGTGTTCGTTCTTATCGCTCATTACCTCATTGGCCAATTGGCGATGCGCGTTCACGCACAGCACTACAACTGGTCAAGCGTTAAACCAATGCTGGCTCAGCATCCTGAGAGACCTGGATAAAAACCTTGACACAAGGGCGAGACAGGCACAATTAATCCATTTTTTCTGCCCTTTAGCCATGACTACTGATACCAACTTTTATCCCGACTTAGTAGGCGTTCGCAAACCAAAGTGCGCTCGTTGCAGGAACCACGGGATAATAGCGTGGATCAAGGGGCACAAACGATTCTGCGCGTTTCGTGACTGCCGTTGTGAACAGTGTCTACTAGTGGTGGAGCGTCAGCGAATTATGGCGGCACAAGTAGCACTCAAACGCAGACAAGCAGCAGAGGATCTGGCTCTTCATAGGTTGATGGCAAAATCCGATGTGGAGCAGAATTCTAACAATACCTTCAGCCCTCTACTCCTTCGTGAGTTTTTGTGAATTTTTTAGGACTGACTGAGCATTGCATTTGTTACTCCAGCATTCGTTATCTCAAAAAATCACTTATTGAATAGGCATGGCGGCTTAGATGTGTGGGACTTTAGATTTATTGTTCTATAATTTAGTCGACAGTTCCTTTTAGTTACACTCTGGTTATTTTTAAGTAGTTAGACTTTTCCAGGACATCTAACTTTTCAGCATGCGTACTTTATGAAAAATGTCTTTCGGACATTGCCCTTTTACACATTGTGCTTTCCAAAATAAACCCTTAAGCATAAGAATCATTTATTTGCATTGCCGCTTTTTCCACTTATCTGCCTTCCCTTTTTGCTTAATCTTGTGGTTGTTTGAAAAAAGGTGAGAGGAAACCTAAAGGTAACATAGACATAAGAGATTGCCTTTAATAAACGATGTATAATCTAGCGTTATCATGCGCAATCCAGATCTGGCTCACCGACTAGTTTGCGCTATTGTCCAAGAAAAATACTGCCCCTTTGATCTACTGTTGCAGATTGAGAAGTTTCGGTACTATTTTGTTTTTATAAACTAGCGCAAAGTTCACTTCACCATTATCTAACCTAATTGTACATTATACAAGCTACATGCTATAGTTAAATGAGCACAGTATTGTTTAGAAACATTTCTTCTTACGCAATCAATCTAGCAAGACAATCTGAAGGCCCTTTATACTCACTCACTTATGTAATAAAAGTTTTCCTTTCCTTTCCTTTTCGATAAAAGGTAAATCGGAACCTTAACTTTCGGTTTTGTTGACAGCTCTTTTTCACAAAGCAATTATTTAATAGAAAGGTGAAGTTTTCGACTGCATAGGGGAATAGTGTAGCAAATATCCCATAAACAGCATACCCTTTCAAAATATTGCAGAGAAACCAAGCGTCATGGAAGCAGACAAGCAGACAAACATTTTTGAATACAGTCTCAAAATAAAGGAAAAAATATTAATCGGTTCCTCCATGTCATACAAAGCTGCAATGAAAAATCTAAACGCATTACTATTCTCTTCACATCTTTAATGATAACTTTTGCCAATCCAGTCTTAGTTGCATCTTATCCGGTATCTTTTCAAAGAGTTGGTAATGGCTTTTTATTCTCAAGTTTATGTGATTTATAATCGGTATTTGTCTATGGATAGTCCTATTAAAAGTATCTTCCACTTAGAAGAATGTGAATATCGAAATGGAATTCGGTGACTTAATATCATATTTCACAAATAGAAGTTCATTCATGCCTGTGATGCAATGTTCCTTTAGTGAAAACACAAACCCAGGGCTCTGTTTCATTATTTTAAGGGCTAGTTAGTTGGATAAAATAAAAAAACTTTAACATAGGAAAGCGGTATGTAGGGCCTCGAAATGTGCGACAATTTTTGCACTGCTAGGAGAATGGGTTGATATAAATGCATTCCTCTTAGGGTTACTTTGTTATGTAGTGTACAAGAATGACGTCAAAATAGTAAAAACGATGTCTGATAATTAGTTTTAAGAAGGCATCGACAAATGTATTGGAAAGCAGAATAACTTATAAAGTGGTTTATTCTAGCTGTGATTTCGCATTTCGTTACTTCACCTATTACGCTGAACTGTAAGAAAAGCATTACTATGGAATCCGCCTTGACGGCTAGTTCGACGCTTTTATGCGCCAATCCTTCGATCTATTTAGAAGCTGTTTGCGCAGTAGATTTAGCATTCAACTTCAAACTCCCTCCTCCCTTGTGGAGAACTATTTTACAATTACCTAATAATGCGCAAGTGTGACTCTTCTGATACCGGCAAGGTGGTGGAGGAAACTAAATATGCTTGGATCGTTCTGTTCCAGGCAAATCAGAATTTCTACAAACAACCCACCAGAGCCTAGATTCTGCCTATCTAACAGCGGATTCACAATTGTCCTTCACCAATGGTAGCGTCACTCCACCACCATGCGACGACCAATCACTAACTGAAGAGCGGAGCTCATCTCCTAAGCCGACTTCACCCCGAGGAACAATGGAATTTGTGCTCAATTTGGGGGCTAACTTACGACAGCAGAGTAGAAGTCACATGTCGCCGGAAGTGTTGACCCACTTCTTTCATGCTTTGCCTCATCCTGCTCTTTTGTCTACGCCATCTTCCACATGTCCACCTTCAACACTACCTCCCCCTTTTCCTTAATTGACTGATTAGTAGATAGAATAATCCACTGTTTTGGTGAATTTAACATATTCATCTTCATAAACACCTTCCTTTTCCTTGTTAATGTATTTCAGACACTAGTCTGAATAAAAGTTGTTTGATAAAGAGAGGCTCTAAAGCGGTACATTATTTTATGAAGAGGGTCTTATCTTCTTGATACAATGTGTAATCGTCGAAGTGCTAGTTTTATGGAATAAAAAAGGCAAACAGAAGAATCAAATATCCTTATGGTCCTCCTTAACCATTAAGTTATTTAAAAGACCAATAAAATGAGGAGAAAATGGCAAAAACAGCAGGAGGATTGCTGAAATAGAACTTCTAAATGTCCGAGGTTAAAAGAGACTGCCGAATTGATTTTGTTGACATCCTGGGATAATCCTTGAACCTCCCCATCCAACCTTTCAACTAAGTTACTCAGCCCTTAATAGTTTGCGGCCATTTGTGCCCTTGTGAACTTATGAGGCATTTCATCAACTGAATTGTTTGGTAGTGGAACTGGTCTGATAAGCCGCTCCAAACCATCTTCAAATATCTAACTGTTGGTCTTTTGATCGTATATTCTAAGACAAAATTTTACTCTCCTAGTGAGCGCTCAGTGGTTTGCACTTAATAAGGCGTCATCATTAGTCCACGCCAAGGGCACCAGAGGTGAGTAAAGATCATGTAGCCGAGCTATTTGCTGGATCACTTCACAGATTTCAATGGAGCAAAATAAAAGCTTTCCGGATCTTAGGTTTTCTTCGAAGATACACCTAAGCTGTACCTAAATCCATTGGTAGCAATATCAATGGGTTAATAAAAGTTGTTATTTATGATTGGCATCTATGAACACATTCTTATAAACGATCTTCAGAGTATTATACTAGTTCCTTCAATGACAAGCGCATCGATCATATGAGGCTTAAATGAGTGCCCTGTTACAATATTGATACCGTCACAACACGCAATAACGGATACTAATTCTCTTTAAAAGTTTTGACGACCTGTATGCATTATAATACATAGCGGGTCAGCAGATCGACTCTCTTCACAATAAGAATAAGTAGATTTAGTTTCACAGAGCGCTTAACTAGAGTCATAAAGCTTGTCTTATCTTCCCTCCAAACAGGTCAGGGAAGCCCTTTCGGTAAACCTTAACAGTCGCATCCTTAAAAGTGAGTTGCGGTCGAGCTGCATCCGTTCAATTCCACCGGCGGCTCATGTAACGAGGGATTATTATATCAAGAAAGTGGAAGCGAAGGTCCCAGTGTCATGCATAAGTATCAAAAGGGTTCATCGCTTCTCCACTATCAATTCATTGCATTAACTTGAACTGAAAGTTATGCATTGTCATTTTACAAGCCTATTCAACTCCACATAACAGGATACTTTTAACGCATAAAGACATAATGCAAAATTTAGCCATCAGGTATGAATCAACCCTTACATTATTAAACAAATAATTGCACGTGATCAGTAAGCGGTGTCGATGTTGATAGGAGCAGAGTAAGCGCAACAACCATTAGATAGAAAGACAAGTGAGAGGACATCAAAATAGATAAAATTTTCTAGTCCTTTATAAATGGAGAAACAGGATGGGTAGTCTCAACAAGTGCAAACGGTGGGCTGAAGCGTATAAACATCTACCTTAAGGTGCCTTAAAAGGTTAGATCTCATGGAACTATTCTTGTAACCAATAAAAGACACCCAAGTTTTATACAAGAATGGTCTCCAGGTTTAATCATGGGGTCAGAGGGGATGGCAACGTTGCTATAAGGCAGTTGCTACTATCGAAAAGTTTTATCTTTGAGATTCCCTGAGTGATGTGAAATTAACCTGCAAATCAGCATGAGAAGAAAATAAACCCTCTCGATATGGTAGCGGTTGGAATAGGTCCAATGCTTATGAGCCAATAACAAAAAAGGCAAACGCATTCAGCATTCGATAATTCCTAGAATGGAATATTTCTTTCAAGATCTTAAGTAGGTAAACTTACTATGAAGTAGCACGTCAAACCTATCTGTGTGATAACTGTATCGATTGGTTCCCAACAAGACCGCTTTCGGCGCTCTTATTATCCTTTCGATTGCTCTCACCCCCAATCTTGGCCTCCGGCCACATGGGTTGTGCATGGTGGTTTGATCAGGAGATAGATAATCATACTGTCATTTTAATTGTCGGTGTAGAATGCGAGTGTTTCCGTACTTTGACTTTTTTCTTGCAAATCTTAACTAAATCACCTTTGCCTCTATCGCAGCATCCCGAGATTTCCCACTAGATAGAAGAAAGCACTAGGTGGGACTTCAGTGCTAGTAAAAAGGATGAAATGGAAGAGATTGGACTTTGGCTTGGCACGAAGCTCAAGCTTAGATGAGCAAGAAAAATTACAGAGTTCAGCCAATCATACAGTTGAACATATGACCAAAGTATTGCATTTATTACCAAGTGACTCTTCAGATGTCCGTTTTCCACACCCTAGTTGGCCTTTCTTAGTTTTTGCATCGTTATACTGTTGTAAGCCGAATTGATGTGCTCTTAATCATTCGATTTGTTTACTAGCAAGGCTATATTAAAAGTAGGCATGCAAAAAACTTCTCGAAGCATTTTGTACCATAAAGCTAAAATAGGCGCATAAACATCCCGTCCCTTTGAAGTATCGCTGTCAATGTGGGTATTTTGATGATAATGAAATATGGAATTAGCTTTGAAAATATGCGGCATGCATACGTTAATAAAGAAAAAGTCTTGCGCTTTCTTTCTACTGGGTATTTTCATTATGAATAGCTAAATCCATTTTATCACAAGGAGATGGAAAGCTGAAATGGCAAGATGGTCTCGAATTCCTACCGCTGCTTGACCCTTAGCATACGGTTTTTGAGAAGGTGCAACGAGAAGCAAGCAGTAGGTAGACTGCTTCGCAAGTTACTAAGCTAAGTACTCTAAATTTGAACAACAGTGCCGTTTAGGGATGCATTATGGGACCTGTGTCAGAAAAAAACCACTTCCTTCTCATTCTAGACGCTGCACTCAAATACAAGAAACTGCAGTGGGTTGAATCTTTCTTAAAATTATTGCTTGAACTTAAAGTTTTAGCATAGCTGGTCTATATGAATTTATTGTAAAGCTTGGAATTGCATTATTGGGTCCAACTGTCTGAAACATGGAGATAGTATTCTCTTTAATGAGCTGTAAATAAGGCAGTCCGATAAACTCGCCATTAATTCTTTTGTCTCTAAGGTAGATTTTACACATTAAGATGCTGCCGTCAATTTTATAAGAGACCTGCATTTTCGTCTTCTTGTGTTTCAATAAATTAAATCGACGCATCCTTCTTTCCGACTGCTGAAATTCTTTTCCTCACTTAGATACTATCCAAAATATTTATGAAGTTGATTTGGCCTAAATTTTCGTAGTTATCATGGAACGCCCACCCATTTGAAAAAATCTTCTAAAATTTCTAGATTGAAAAGGTTTTCTTAACTGAGCTAATCAGCTGACCAGTTTGAAGTAAAAGTTCAATTGTTAATACCATCACCCCGGTAACCGATCAGATCCGCAATTTGATCTACTAGTGCAGTCACTGACTCATAAGCCTAGTTTCGGAAAGCACTGTTGTCAGGGCGAGCAGGTCAGGATTGGAGGGGAGAAGGAGGATGACTCTCCACCGCATGCCGTAATAAAGTCCATCTGGCGGGTTGTTAATCGTCTCAATCTCCAACTCCACCTGTCCCACCACTACAAAATTCCTTCCTAGAAAGTAACCAGCAAATGAATTTACCTACACTGTATTCAGTCAATTTGAAATTCCAAAATAAAACATCTAGCTGGTGGCCTACCATTGCTGTGGTTAGACAACATTGACAACTTGCACTGTCATGCATCAGCTTTAGCAGCCTTCTGACGAGGTAAGTTGAAGCTTGTTGAGTTCTTGCCTGTCGGTCTTATTTTAATCCGATATTTGATAAGTAGCCTTAGGCAGGTGTTTTATAGCTTACCCTATGCACCTATACGTATTGCAGGATGGAGAGACTTCCCTTCACCACAGGATGTGCCCAGGCTACGCATGTGGCTGCCCGCACGAATGACCGTATTTATATCTGCAAAGTTTTATCAAAATTATTTTACACTGGAAGAACTTTCGTCCATGAAAATTTTGGCTGGCTATGATGTGGTCGAGGATTAAAACAAACTTTTCCTTATTGGCCTTGTTCTCTCATTCACTTCAGAACTCGAGGCTTTGTACAATTCTTGCCTTCGTTTAATTTGGCTATGCTATGAGATTTCCAAATGGCTTAGTAGAAGAGAATTTCCGACCGCTTTCACACTGCCACCATCAACACCACCGTGATCATGTAACAAGAAATGCATTCGCTGCAGGTGTGGATGCGGTAGTGTTGCAACAGCGCCTTCAATGCTTCTCACCTTACCATTCCCACCTTAATGCGCAGCTGTGAATGAGTATTACATGGTTGCATTAGCACTAGTGCTTGTTGCAAAATTTGCTTTCAGACTGCTGAAATTAAAATGGATTGTTATTAAGACACGAACTAAGCTGAATAAGGATTGCTCGTCATCAACCATAGCAAAAATTTTCTGTGCACGCTAAAAGGAGATTGTCTTTCTTTCGACTAGTAGGCACATTGGAATGTGAGAATGAGTCGTACATCCATCATGCGGTAGTTTCCTCCCCAACTTGCGTTCTTTACTTCTAATGTTTACCTATTTTGCGAATGAAAGGTCCCAATCTATTGGAGTAGTCTTATCGAGTTTTGAGAACATGAATTTCTTTGTATTTTTTCGAGTTACATCATACCGAGTAGACAGATCTCCAAAAGTTAAGCATGCTTGTAATGACACGCTTAGGTTGCGGCCCACAGCATGCAAAACTGAATTGTCTTGAGAGTGCGAAGTGTATTGCAACAAATAACCTAACATACACAGCTGCCCTCTACAGAGTTTGTTAAGGAAGCAAATATAGAAAACAAGAGACGTTTACGACCCAATTTTCTGGTTAAAATTAGTTTCATATTGTTGAACAGACTTTAGCCACCTCGACAAATTTATTGAAATCGGATGAAATCAACAAACGCAAGGTGCCTATGGTCTCTGTCGGTCTTGAGCTACCACAATTCACCATGAGCCCCTCAAGAGCAGGTAAATGTTCAAAATCAGATGCTACGCACCCGGATTGACGCATATTGCTGATATCGAAACCGATCCACAGGTAACAATAGTATATCAAACTTCTCAATACTATTTCACGCTTCGGAGCAGGCTCCGAGACCGAAGCCAAAGGTGCAAAACCCAAAACCTAACCGCAAGCCTCCCTGCCCGGCGATCATACCGCACCCGATACCGGCGCAGGGTTAGACGCCGAGAAGGCGGAATCGAACCGCTCTGATGCTAGTCAGCTACAGGTTTGAAGCCTGCACCACGGACCACCGAGGCTCATCCCGGCGTCTGATAGAATTAAACATAAATTACTAAGTGCAAGAAATAAAAATCTCCCGAATTTTAAATAACCTGGTACTTCATTTAACTTCACATATCGTTGACTGCCCAAAAACGCAGGTTCCAAGACTTGCACCTCACGTCAAAACGTTATCTAATCGCCAATAACGCCAGAATACCTCCGCATAAAATAGAACACCTTGCTAACCTTGCAAGTAGTATGTTCGCTATTCACACACCAAAAGAGCTCATCGTCAGCGCCACAGTGATTACTAGCCGTCACGGGTGTGGTTTTATAATAAATAACCAGGATTCCATGATATGGAAGTCTACCAATCTTGCTAGAGGATACTGAACAATTTTATGTACTAGCTGACCCAATTCGTGTAATATCCCCGTCAAATCACCCCGCATGATCTCAAGTCAAGCCTGGGCACATGAACCTAATAATGATAACTCACAGCATTTAATGGATACATTTTGTCTTCGCAAAGTAAAATAATTTCGTGGATGACCTTTTAATAAGGAAGAAGCTTCATGCTAAACGCAAATGTACACACAGAAAGAGGAGATGCTAAAATAGGGAGAAGCATGATGCATTGTATCACGGCTACCGGCGCCTCCTACCCCTCCCTCCACCTTTTCTGCAAGTGTTTCTTCTGTGCTTCCTTTTTTTCTACAAAAGGTATTCCTGCGATACAAGTACTCATACCTTCAACTTAACAAAACTCATCTCCTCCTCTTCACCCGACTAAAATGAGAAAAATGATGAGCCCTTTAAGAAACATGTGAGCAAAGATAAAGCCAACAACTCAAAAAAAAACCCACGCTTTCAAGTAACTTCCGAATGTGATCCATACGTGTGCCAGTGCTGAGAAACTCACCACGCTCCAGACGTTTCTGTAGCAATCGCTCGCGCTTGGTCAAGGAAACGCGAGTAAAATTCTCCTCCTCGAATCTACACACCAAAGACGTAACGCAATCAGCACTCACCTCTCTCGTTCTCGCATCTTGGCAAGGAACTTCGCATCACTGTTAGAGGAACCATACTACAAAATAGTGATATCTAAAGTCTTATACATAAACTTCGGCCGGTAAATCCTCCTCTTCCACCATATTAGCATCTTCTAGTAGCCATTTAGCAGCTCTGAGCTTTTCTCTGGATATCTCCTTTGTTGGACTCGCATAGTTATTATCTAAAAGTAGGTACGACGCCCGATTTCAGGTGGAGGATGTAAGGTGGCCGCAGAGAATACAAGTGATATGATTACAGAAATGTGAACATCAACACAGGAACAAATTTTTACAAAAACGAATACGTTACCATAAAATACTGGATTAAGATGGGACGGACGATACACGTCAATTCTGTTTCCTTGTTTATTTCCATTGGGAGAACTGGTCTCGGACATGTTCTAAAAAATGCAATGGGTAAAAGCACGAACATGTTACCACAAAGTTTTCCAATATTGGCCTGCACGGATCCATTCCTGGAGGGTTGGGGAAAAAATCAAAGTATTGCCAACATACCAAGGAATTTGAGCAGCGATCCGGTGCGCACTCAAAACCTAAAAAAGATAACCCCAAGTAGAGAGACATGAAAACCGTACTCTTGTCACAAGTTAGAACCCTCCTGAATGGACAAACACACGAAGTCACTAAATTTGCTTCTTTGAGCACCTATTTAAACAGCGTTAGCGGATGTGATTTAACGAAAGTCACGCAAGC